GCAAAGACCGTGGCCACGGGCAGCTCTGGGGGGTGGGAGCAAAGGGGGAAGCCCTGGTTGGGCACGGCTTGGCCCCAGGGCTTTGAGGTGGCCGTGGCAGGGTCAGGGTGGTCTCACCTTGTCTCTCCAGAGTGGCCCTCCCATACTTGTTCAGAGTGCGGATTTGGCTCTGGCAGATGAAGGACAGGAGGTGCTCCAGGAGCACTTTGATGGACGTCTTTCTGTTTAGGTCCCTGCTGACCTGCTCTGCCAGCTGGGATGGCTGCTGCATCTCCCAGCACTCTTCATCCACCTCAAAAGCTACAAGGTCTTTGCCACCCTCCCTGACACGCAGGAAGCCCCAGCTGGATGTGTTGGGGTACAGCTCACAGCCCGCACGGATTTGGACCACCAGAGGGTCTGCCAAGGGCAAAGCCAGCGGAGAGGTCCCATGAGTGTGTGGCACGTGGGTGGCACGAGGCGGGACGTGACTGAGGGCACGTGGAAGGGTGCGATGGGCAGCAGGGTGCGATGGGCAGCAGGGCACGGGGCCATGCTTCAGGAAACCCCAGACACCTTGCAAACCCTCAGGCCCCTTGGAAGGATGGAGTGAATACCAGGCCAGTTAGTGTGGGGGTGCTTGTTTAAAAAGAATACTGTCCCCCAAAATATTTGCCCCCAATTTTCTCTTTCATGATCTTTTCTATGTGAGTCCTGCAGCCCCAGTAAATTTTGTGGCAACTCCCTGGTGTGCAGAGGGGCTTCCTGTGCCAGATGTCAGAAGCCCCAAGGGGTTTAAGGTCTGCTGCCTTCCCCAGTCCTGCGAGTCATAAGCCCCAGCAGCTGCAGCGTTACACTTTCAGGAGCTGTTGCACCCTATGAAACCCCCCCAGATGCCACCCTGGTGGAGGAGGGCACAGCCTGAACCTGGGGAGAGGTGCCAGGGCTCTGACTGGAGTTGTTCCCATACTCACAGTCCATTTCTGTCTGCTGGACTTTGTCATGCACATATCGGACCACATTGCGCAGAGCAATTTGGCTTTGGGACATCAGCTTCTTGGTGTCACCCTCGGCCGCAGCCTGGCTGACCCAGGGCCAGTGGAAGTGGACGCTCCAGTTCGCAGGATCCAGTGCAAAGATGGGCACATCCCCCAGGACTGCCATCGCTGACACCTCAGCAGAGGTCATGTCAGCAAAGAGGCCGGTCAGGAGGTACTGGAGAACCTGTGGCTCTGCTGGAAAGGAGGATGGGGATGAGAAGGGGTGTAAGAAGGTGATGAGTGGAGGGGCTAAGGGAGAAACAAGGGATTCAGACTAGATACAAGGAAGAAATTTTTTACTGTGAGGCTGGTGAGACACTGATGCAGATTGCCCAGAGATGGGATGGATGCCCCATCCCTGGAAACATTCAAGAGCACGTTGGATGGAACTCTGAGCAACCTGGTCTAATGGAAGATGTCCCTTCCCATGGCAGGCGGGGTTGGACTGGATGGTCTTTAAAGGTCCCTCCCACCCCAAACCATTCCATGGTTCTGTGATTCTGTGCTCTTCAGCCTGCTCAGGGTAGCTTTCCTGGCTGAACTTCCTCTGCCTTTGCTGCTCCTTTTCCTTCTCTACTTTACTTGCAACGAATTGTTTCTCTCCTGCACAGGATTTCAGGCATTTTGTCCCCTCCCCTCCCTGCCTCCCTCCTGCCCAGCGCTACTGTCTGACTGTGTAGAGCAGATGAGGGGACACCTCACTGCTTGTTTGGGGTGATGCTCCCCCCAGAAGAACACCTGTGCCAGGACCTGTATCTGCCAGAGACCTGTACCTGGTGCAGAGGACATGGAGGATGGAAAAGAGCATTTTATCCAGGTTTGGGGGCTCCCTGACAGGAGAGCAGTGCAGCCCATCTCAGAGATCAGTCCTGCCTTCCCCTGTGTGATGCTGCCCACCCCAGAAGCACAAGGTCTCACGGGGTTGTTTGTGGTAAAATGCTCATACAACAGCAGTGCCTGAAACACCCTCTTGCAGGTGCAGCTCTACAAAAACAAGGGTCTGCTGGAAGAGGCCCAAGTCAGCACGTGGGGCTGATTCCCCCTTGGCACTCATGGGCTCCCTGCAGGAGGAAGACATCGTGGGAGGAACCTCAACACCCAAAGCCTGGCTAGGGACCCTAGCCTCTCTTCTGCTTGTGTACCCAAGGCCCTGTGTCAAGCCAGTGGGGTAGAAGTCCAGAGCTGGGGGCAAGAACAGAGAGGGTGGGCAGGGACAAAGCACCTTTGGGTCCTGCATCGTGGGGGGCAGCCCTTTGATGCTGGGGATCATCCCCCCCATGCAGGGGACAGTGGCCTCCCCTGAGGAACCTGTAGGGTCCTCTGACAGCAGGGGTGAGAGTGGTTTGGGTGAGCCAGGGCTCCCACTTACCTTCTGGGTCTGCCCACATCCCGGGGAGGAGGAGGGGAAGAAAGAGGAGGAGGTGAGGGGGCTGCATGGTGCAGGTGGCAGGGATGAGGAAGCAGCAGCAGCAACTGCAGGAAGAGGAAGAACCTTGGGGTCCCACGCTTCAGCCCAGCCCAGCAGTCACTGCGGCAGCTCTCCACAAACCATGTGGAACATGCGGAACAAATGTGCTGGGGTTAGGGCTGGGGACGTGTGGGAGAGATGAGAGCTGAAATAATGTCTCGAGCATGAAGTGCTGTGACAAGCTGGGCCTGGAAAAAGCCCAGCCAGGAGGAAAGAGAGTCTCAGGAAACATCGCTAGGAGAAAGCAGATGTTCAAGGGTCCCCCTAGCTCCCCCTCCCCACCAATGGCACCTTGTCCTATCCCAGTTCTTGTGGGGTGCATCAGCTCCAATGGAGGGGACGATGGCTTTTGGATTTCAGCCCTGACTGGTTGCTGTCCTCCCAGCCCCCACATGGCAAGAAGGGATGCTTTGTGTCCCCCCCTCTGGCACCTCCAGCTCAGGCTGCTCCTGCACCACCTGCCTAACCCTGGGGATGGGGCTCCCAGGGAGGAGGTGACAAACAGTTCCTGACTAACCCCAAGCTGTGGGGCGCTGCTGGGGAGCCCCAACTCTGACCTAAATGCCCCCAGGACAGGGCCCAGGGATGGGTCTGGCACTCCCCTTTCCTTTCTACCAACTTTGGTGCCAACGGGGACAGAGCAGCGGAATGGCTCCCACCGTTCCTGTTCCCATGCACAGGGGACTCTTGGGGAGGGGGACAGGATTCTGCACCAGTGTCCAATGGTACAAGGGAGGGACAATGGTGAGCCAGCCTCACCCCCCAAAATGTCCCTGATCCGCTGCTCCTCTCCAGCTCCTCCCCTCAACACATAGTTTCTCCTCCCCTTTCCTGGGCAGTGCCCATGTTGGGAGTGAAGGCAGAACTG